CCCCCCATCTCCCAGCCTGGGTCTCAGCTCTAGGCCAGGAGTCGTCCAGTCCCACACCAGCAGATAGCCACCCAGCCTCTGCTGACATACTGCAGAGGTGCCATCCTCCCTTGAGGGTGGCAGCCACAGCTGAGAAGGTAAAATTAGCACTGGGGGCTTTGTCCCAGGGAACCAGAATCCAAGGTCTAGGGATAGTGGGGGTGGTACTGTTCTGCCCTCCCCTGGGGGTGGTACTGAACCCCTCCAGCAGAGAGGTTCATACAGCCTTAGGACCCCTGCTTCCACTTCCACCCAGGTCATGCTATCCTGACTGCCAACAAGGTCAAATGCATGTCATATGTGGGAGTGTTCACATTCACTTCTGCACTGAGCAGAGCAGTGGTGAGGGCTATGGCTGCACTGCCACGAGAAGCAGGCACAGTGTGGGAACAGAGGAGGTGAAGGACAGGTCCACGTCAAGTGACTGCATGAGTGACTGAAGGGTCCAGACCGGAATTGGTCTTCAGAGGCAAGAACATGATAGAAGCTGAAGAGTGAAGAGTCGGTTTACTCCCTCTCCCTGGGTGGTCTGCTCCTGGTCTAACCATGTTCCATCCAAAGAGGGGACAGGAACAGCCGCAGATGTGGGAGGCAGCGCTGGAGTCAGGATCCTGTCTCCAGGTGGCCTCTATCAGCATGAGCAGGGGTGTTCTGTGATTCCCCCCAGACTGTCAGGACCAGGACCTTCTTCAGATGGGCTCTTCATACTCTCTGCACTCCTCTTACTCCTCTTCCCTGCTGGGCTTTAATGACCTACCTGGGACAGACAAACTCAGGTATCCTTGAAACTGCATCACCTTCATCTGTTAAGCAGCTTAGCAAGAAGTCAACTCAGCCACCAGCACCACGGAAGAACAGGCTGGCCACGGGCTCCCGGGTGTGCTTGCTGCTACCAATCACCTAGGTGTTGCTGTCCCCTCCCCAGCATGGGGTGGTGGGCACTCCTGAGGGAGGACAGTTTTCCAGGAAATCTCACTTTTATGCCAAGTAGTATAAGTGGGTATGCATCCATACCCCATGTGTGACAATGTTAGTGCTCACCCCGGGGTCACCAGTAGGTTAGGGCTAGGGCTTGGAAATCTACCTTAATGGTTAATTCTGATATGGGAGGCTGGAGCAGGCACCTAAGGAGAGAGGATGCATCACTGTGTGTGGTGGAGGGGACCATGAGCACCGAGACCTGGAGACCAACAGGGCCCAAATAAGAGGACACAGAGTCCTAAGGACACAGTGGGAGGAGGCCTTCCCCAGTTAAGACATGGGTGGATGTGAAGATACCCAAAAGCATGTGTGTCTCAGGTGGCTTGGGAGAAGAGACAGATTTGGGCCTTGCTGAGCAGAGTTTAAGAAACATAACACTGTAGACCAAGAGGAAGTCCCAGCCACGGCTTCCTGTATGTTCTATGGTGTGATAGTCTGCTCGAGCCCTCCCCTCCCGCCAGCTCTTTTAAGTCCTCTTGGTTGGTGATGGAAGGTGTCAGCTGTGGAGGCCAGACAGGAGTAAGGAAGGACTGCTACCTGGGATCCTGCTGGAACCCAGCTGCAGACTTCACCGCCAGGAAGCTAGCCCTGCTCAGAGCTTAATTCTAGTTCCAGCAGGAGATGGGCAGGTTCCTGTTAGATGACTTCCTCCAGCAGGTCAAGCCTTCTGGGAGAGGTGGTGGGTATGTGGCACTTGGTGCGTGCCCTGTTCTATTCTGTCTGGATGTCTTTCTTGGGGTGCTCTTCCCATTCCGTCCACATCCACAGCTTTCCCCACCATCAAAGCCCTGCCAGGAGGCCCTGCTTCCCCTGCTGAGGGCAGTGGCCTTGGGCAGTCTCTGCCTCCTGAACTGCCACTTTTCTACTTAAAGCATGCACTGGGCTGAGAGCTCCCCACACCTCCCACCACAGGATGCCTAGGCAGGGGTGCTTGGCACTGGGGTGTCATTGCAGGGACTTTTTATCTCCAACTGAACTCAAAACAACAGGTCAAGACTGAGCCTACCCTCTGCCAGCATAAAAGGGTTGAAATAAAAATCCTGCTCCTCCGCTGGTTTTCCCCATCACAGGAAATGGACCCTGCATCCTTCCTCATGCCCCAGCATCTATCACACCCCATATCCTGGCTGATCCCAGCCCAGCACCCCGCTCCTAGGATCACTCCCAGGCCTCCCATTCTCCTACTCTATTCCAACTGCCATCTCACATCTGATAGCTTTATTTTCAGGGTCCATCTGTTTCTTTTAACAAATAAAAGCTCCTCAAGATCCGTGATGTTTATTAGGGGTTCCCTAATGTTGCCATACATAGGGCAAATGGGAAATTATAGCTAAAGATGCCTTTATTTATAAAATATTCATTACAAGAATTCACAGAATACTCGGTCACATCTTTGTAAAATTTTGTAATGAATACAGTATTTGGTAAATAAAGGTAATTTAGCTACGATTTCCCATCTTTCCTATGTATGGCAATTTTAGGGGTGACTTTTGGGACACCCTATATTTTGCTCACTGTTGTATCCCAGCACTCAGAAATGTGGAGCCCTGAGTGGGCACCCATGAAAAGCTGTGGAAAACATGAAGGCCATTCTCTGCCCTCCACAACCTGTACATCCTTCCTTGTCCCAGAAGCGACACAGGAGAGGAACTCTGCCAGCTGCCGGCCCTGGCCTCTGCAGTACAAGGTGTTGACCTTAGCCTTGGTGTTGAGCTAGAAATTTTGGCCATTTTGGGGTGCCTAGCAGGAGCCGGGAACTGTGAGCACACCCTCCTGCCCTGCCCCTGGTCCCAGAATGTGAGTGAGCAGTCTCACCTCTGACCTGGTCAGCCTAGGCTGGGCTGGTCAGGGCCCAGCAGGGGCCACAACTTACTTGTCTCATGCAGTGTGATGACTAGACATCGGCCTCATCCCTCCATTGCCTTCCTGTGCCCCTAACTCTGTGCTGGGCTCTCAAGAACATCTTGCGCTGCTGAGCACAGCCTACCTGTGCAGGGCTGCTGTCACTGCCTGCATGCTGTGCCTAGGGTAGCATCCATGCCCAGGCCAGAAATCCCATGTGGGGCCTGAGTCTGGGCCTCAGCTGCATCAGGAAAAAGCCCCTATCCACAGCCTCTAGGGAAGGTTCTGAGCCATCACCAGAAGTGCTTAGAGCCTGAGAGCTCCTAGTATACCTCCCCGCAGTTATTTTTCAGTACTGTTGTAGTCCTATAAATAGAGACAACACTGTAAGATACCTACTGTCAAAGAGTTTACTTATGTTGTATTTCAGGAATGGAAAACAGAAGTAAATCTATACCAGTGGTTCTCAACCTTCCTAATGCTGCAACCTTTTAATGTTGCGACCCACAGGTTGACAACCGCTGCTCTATACAAATAAGCTCAACTGGAGAAAAGCATTATCAGAATATAGAACAGGGCAGAGTCTGGGACATTAGCTGAGTCGTCTTGGAAGGCCTCTCTGTGGTGACATTAGACTACACAGTCAAACAGCTGAGGAATAATCTCTCAGAAGAGATGGCAAATATAGGAACGTGCTTCTCAGAAGAGATGGCAAATATAGGAACGTGCTTGGCAGAGATACAGGACCACAGAGAAGGCAAGGAGAGGTGGTCAGGGAGAAGGGCACAGACCAAGTGCAGTCTGTGGCCCATGCCTTCTGAGTCTAGGGCTCAGTGCCAGGAGCCTGGGAAGGATGAGCACAGCCCAGCATCCTTGCTCCACTAGGAACCACTGGCCTGCACTGCCCCTCTTAGTGCCTGTTTCCTGTCTGCCAAACAAGAGGTGACCTGTTTCTAAGGAGGTCCCACAGTGGTAACTGCTGCCCCTAGCCACCCGTTGGCTTCTGGACAGTATCTGGATGTGGAGGGAGAATGACCTTTATTTATAGAATCTCAGCAGGAAAGGTCACCAAGTCTGAGGCCCAGGTGTGAGGTGACGCTCACCTTTGGTACCTGAAGGCAATGTTCTCACCGGTGTTGTCCATTCCTTCAACAGTTCTCAGGTGATCTCTGCTGGACACTGGGAAGGCTGTGGACTCCACCACACAGGCCCTTACAGGCTTGTTTCCAGACTCCAGGAGCAAAATAAAGAGCCCAGATTAAAATTGGAACCCTGGGTTCAAACGCAGCTCTACCCTCCTTGTGTCCATCACCTGACCCGTTAGGTGGGGTCATTATAGCACCTGCTTCACAGGCTTGTGAGGTTGGGTGAGAGAAACCACAAGCAGTGCTTGGTTACTGCAACACCTGGGCTGTGCTCACCTCTTGCAGGTCCCAGAATACACATGAAGAGGGGATCTACCCCGGCTGGGTTCAACCATTCTTCTACAACCCAAGACAAAAGGAACTGTCTGCCTCATCTTGCAAACAGGAAAGCAAAGACACCTGCCCAGGGAATGCAACAAACCTGTGCCTCCTAAGTGCTGCTCCATCTGGACATCTCCCAGACGTCATGCCTTCCAACTGGTCTGACAACCACCAGGCCTTCACGTGAGCTCCCACCTGGAAACCCTCAGGCCCAGCTCTGGCCAGAGCTCCAAAAAGGCAAAGCAAAATCTGACAGCTGTCGTTTTCTCTGCACTTTCTTCTGGAAAGACTGCACAGAACTACAAAGGCTTAGAAGTAAAACCTAATCTTCAGTGCCAAACTTAAGGATTGCTTGACCTTATCTGGGGAACTTAACCGGATACATGACAGCATAAAGCTCTCAGAAACAGGTATTCCTCCTCCTTCCCAGCCACTCGCACCCTCAGGCTCTTCAGCCTCCTCCCTACCCCAACCAGCTCTCACCTCTAGGAAAGCCACCTGGCGGGACACGCCCTCCCATGGAAAACATCCCTACCCCACATCTCAGGTTGAAAACCCACTGTGCTCAAGTTTTCAGGGTTGAAATCTGACCTGCCCTATGGCAGGTCCAGCTGGGGGAGCAGTTGGATCAGGGTATTTGCCAGAGGCAAAAAAACACAAGTCTGCAAAAGGACTTCCACTACAAAATAATTTATTGTTAACACACAGTTTCAGCACTGGAGACTATGTACAAGCACACAACACTCCTCTAACTGCCCTAACTAGGGGACCCTTTTCTTTCCCCTTGCTTTGCGGACCTCTTCAATCAAATCTTTCAGGTACTGGATCTCCTTGGCCAAGGAATCTGCCTTCTCCTTCAGAGCCTCATTCTTTTTTTCCAGCTCTTTGCATTCACCAGCAAGGGCTTCCTGCTCTGCCCTCTTCTTCTGGCGGTACCTAGTGGCCGCAGTCTTGTTTTGCTCCATTTTTTTCAGCTTCTTATCCAGCTTCTCACCCTTTACTTTTGCTGCTACTATTTTCTCTCCAGGAGGGTCGTAAGGTTTGGGGCGGACAGAGCCACAGAGGACACCTGGAGATGGCAGGCTCCTATTTGGAGAGCCCCTGGAGGTAGAGGGGCTATGCTGGGGAGAGCCCAGATAGGACTCCGGGCTCATACAGATGCCACTGTCATTATCTGAGGGGGTATCTTCCTCCTTTACACACTGAGGAATCATGTTAATATAAGCAGTAGAGTCTGACTTTCTATCTCCTTCCGAGATATCCACTTCGCTGCCCAGCTCTAAACTAAAGGAATGATCTGGAGTAGGGGACAGGACCCCTGGGGATAGGGGAAGAGGTTGCAGAAAGGTTAGGGGGGCAACCTGGTCTGTTTTTGTTAAACTTTCTGGGAGATGGCCAATTGGGTTCACTGTCTGGGGGGGCTCCTTATTAGTCTCCTGGACTAGGGGGGCAAAGAGATCACATGTGTCATCCAACGTGGCCAAAAGCTCATCTGGCATGGTTTCCAGGTCATCCATACCCAACAGGGCATCAAAGTCAAACTCCTTCAGATCCATTTTCTCCAACATCCAATCTGTCCCAGAGAAGGCATCCTCTGTAAGAGATATTAATAGTATTGGAAACAACTGAGTCAACACACAAAGCAACAAACTCCCAATCCCAGACCCCACAGGGAAAGGACCCACACTGATAGACGTAGTGCTTCACTCACCCTTGCCATTGTTGGAGGCACTGACCAACCCATCCACAGCCAGCCATTCGGAGGAGCCCGCCTTAGCCTTGTCACTGGAGAACCCATGAGGTTTGAAGTGCTTGGCCACCTCCAGGTAATCATCTAAGAGATCTAGGCTTTCTTCAGCCCCCAAACCCGACTGGTCGAAGGGGGACATCAAGTCCCCCGCCAACACCTCGCTGCTCAGGAAGCTCATCTCGGTCATGTTGTGGGGCTTTGCTGAAATCCAGGAATGTACTTAACTCGAAGGTGTCTTTGTTGGTTACAGCAATGCTGCTGCTGGATGCTGTGAGAAGCCTGAAGAGGAACCAGAAGGTGAGTGCCATTAGAGATTAACCAGTTTGACAATTTCATCTTTTTACCCACAAGGCAGAACGGCCACATAGTAACTCTCGATTGCAGAGGATCAGAGCACGCGGCCGTCGGGTCACTTTATCAACCTCGCCTGCTTCCGGCTCAGGTTGCACAAGATGGACGCCCGCGGAGACTCTGTCATACACTTCCCCGCCACCCTGAGGAAGGAGCTCCGTCCCCGTGTCCAAATACGGGTAGGCTGCCGCGCCCCGCCCACCGCGCCGCAGCCGCCATCTTGGCTCCTGCCACGTTTCGGAGGCGACAGCGGGGACCTCCAGCGGACTCAGGAGCGAGAGCGACGGGGCCCACAGGGAAGCAGACCCCGCTGCCGTGCTACACTCTCCTAATCCGGGAGGTCTGGTGTCTCGTGGACACCCGAGCACGGGCCACGCGTCAAGGGCGCTCGTAAAACCGCTTCCCCCTCGGAGACGCAGCCCGACCCCAGACCGCGCCCAACCAAGCCGAAACCCCCGCCCGCCCAGGGCTCCCGTCCAGGGCGGCCCGGCCTCAGTACTCACGCCATGGCTTAAGCCGCTGGGGGTTGCCGCTGCAGAGCCTGGTGCTGCTGCCGCCGCTGCAAAGGCCAACGCTGCCGCAGGCACTACTGCCTCTAATACGCCATGGTGGCCGCGGACCCTGCTAGAGGGGAGGAGGGAAAGACGAACTGCAGAGAAACTACATTTACAGGCGGGTGCAGCAGAAATGGCCGCGGCGCGCCGTCCGCGGGCCCTTTATAGAGGTCTGGTCCATAGAGACGCACCACAGAACGCATCCTTCCGCCGCGACCACGTGACCCTCGCCTTACGCCCACTCGCTTTCCTCCGAATACCCCACAGTTTATGTGCAGGATAGACCCTACCCTCCTATTGGAGCATAGCTGTGATGAGCGAAGGAATTTGTTTCTAAGACCTCATGGAAGGAAAACACTGCACTACTTTTCAAGACTTCCGAGATCAAAGAGTCACGCTCTTCCTTCTGCTGCCAAAGAGCGCGGAGGGATTTGTCGGACACGCCTCGCTTCCGGCGTTGGCTCAAAGAGCAGGGTGGGGAAAGAAGGGGCATCCCAAGGAAGGTTTTTATTGTGAAGGCGGAGGCCGCCAGGTTATCGCGCGAGGTGCTGGCGGGGAGCGCGCGTCGAGCTGATTGGCCCAGGCTCAGTGAGTCATTATATACCTTAAGTTCCTATTGGCTCCAGATACTCGGTGGGCGCGCCACTCAGGGAGAACGCCTAGGGTCTGCGCGGGAAGGGGCGGGGCTGTCCAGCGATTCCCGCCATCTGGCTCAGGTTGGTTTCCTGCTGTTTGAGGTGGCCCCGCTGTAGGAGGCTTTCTTTGCCTCTCCCGGCCGCTGGGCGTCCAGAGCGGCTCTGGCTCTTAATCCCGGGCAAATCTAGCCCCGCGCACACCAAAAAGTGGTTTCAGGACAGGGCCCCTGCGGTCCCTACTGTCGTCGCCAATGGAATCCTTATTGGCGACCATAACTTCCGGGCCCAAGTTTCTCTGCTCCTTCCTCATGCTCTCCCTTAAGTACCCGTCAGTCTGACTTCTAACCTGGGAAGGTCTTTCCCCTTGGACCTTCCCCCTGGTCCAAGTCTTTGTTTTCTAGAGCGGACCCACCGCAGGGATCTGATTTGGTTCCCCAGATACACCACTAATAGCGAACACAAAATTGCCCCTCAGGAGCTTCAGGGACCATGGCTAGAAGGGGAGACTGGGAGGGCCTGCACCTCCGGGCCTCAGATGGGAGATCACCCTAATCCCTATCCACTGCCCAGTAAAGGCCAGCTCTGTAATGGTCTATAGAAAGAGGCCAAGCGGGGTGGCTCAAGCCTGTAATCTTTTCGCTCTTGGAGGCCGGGGCAGGTGGATGGCCTGAGCCCACGAATTCAAGACCAGCCTGATCAAGACCCCATCTATAATAGAAAATAGAGAACTAGCGGGGTGTTGTGGCGGGTTACTGGGCAGGCTGTGGCAAGAGGATCAGTCAAGCCCAAGAGAGTGAACTTACTGTGAGCTTGGCATGGCACAACCCAGGACGACAGAGACTCTGTCACAAAAAAATAAAAATTAAAAAAAGAGAGGCACAGTCCTACTGCCCAACTTGTATTTTTATAGTACTCTGTGAAAATACAAAGTTACTAGTTTATTAATATTAAAGTGCAGATCTATCACAGGGGAACTTCTTTTCGTTTATGTTGACTCAGTTCCCCCAAAGAATAAGATTTTATTCAACTGGCATTTCTCTCGTTTCAAAGTTTCAATTAACCCTCAATCCTCTAACTTCCAGGTCTAACCAACTTCCTCACAAGTCATCCTAATGGCCCTTGAGACAACTCCAAAGCTTGAGAGTCCAAGTCCACTTGCTGGGGGTTGGCATGTCTGGAAGTTGTCCTGGTCAGGCCAACTGTTTAGGATTCTTCACTATCGCAGTCCCCTCCAATGTCAGACCCTGTTAAGGTAGAAATCTTGGTATTTCCCCCTCCATTTGAATGGCCACACAAATGTCATTTCTGAGGGCTGCAATGTCAGTCAAAAAAACTGGCAAAGGACAGCACTGCACCTTTCATTGACTTGATGAAATCTAGCCCAATAATTTTACAATGGTAACCCAGGCCCAATGGGATGAGGTGTTTTGCTGAAAGTCACATAGCTCCTAGTGGAAACAGTATAGGGTAGGAGTTAGAAAATAGATTTGGGGCTTGCCACCTGTGGCTCAAGTGGCTAAGGCGCCAGCCCATACACCTAAGGTGGCGGGTTCGAATTCAGCCCAGGCCCACCAAACAACGACAGTGGCAACCCAAAAAAATAGCCAGGCGTTGTGGCAGGTGCCTGTGGTCCCAGCTACTTGGGAGGCTGAGGCAGGAGACTTCCTTGAGCCCAGGAGTTTGAGGGTTGCTGTGAGCTGTGATGCCACAGCACTCTACCCAGGGGAATCACTTGAGGCTCTGTCTCAAAAAAAAAAAAAAAAAAACGATTTGGAGAGCAAATCTAAAGGAATCCTGGCTCTACCATTTATTAGCTGGCTACGTAACTTATTCTCTCTGGGTCTGTTTCCTTATCTGTAAAATGAGGGTAATGATGACTATCTTTGTTCTAAGAATGAAGTGAGATCATTTATGTAAAGCACTTACTGCAGTGCCTGGTAGTTGTAAATACCTAATAGTTTAGTTTAGTTTTGTTTTGTTTTTTTGGAGATAGTCTCACTCACTATGTCGCCCTTGGTAGAATGCTATGGCGTCACAGCTCACAGCAACCTTGAACTCTTGGGCTCAAGCAATTCTCTTGCCTCAGTTTCCCAAGTAGCTAGGACTACAGGCGCCCAGCACAATGCTCAGCTATTTGTTGTTGTTGTTGTCACTGTTTAGCAGGCCCTGGCCGGGTTCAAACCTGCCAGCCCCGGTGTATGTGGTCACAGCCCTAACCACTGAACTATAGGTGCCATGCCTTTGCTATTACTATTATTAGAACTCTGACCCTGACCTCCCAATCCTCCTGCCCTTATCTCCATTACACCATCCTCTTTCTTCAGAGGACTCTTCACTATTATTTACTGAGATGAAAGCAACAATTCTAAAGTGCAAGTAAGTCCAAGGCATACTAAATGCTGGGATAAAAGTGTGCCTTCTTTTTCCCCGTGAGGAATCATGAGTGTTGGGATATATGGAAGTTGTCTAGACTTTTAGAACAAAGGCAGCAAGAATCCACAAGCCATTATCCATGTCTTGCAAAGAACTGAGGACCCGTGGGGGATGTCCTCCTTTTTGTTCTATCAAAAGACTTATCATTGTGCCTGGCAGATAACATGCAAATAGTAGAGAATTAAAGAAAGCAACAATGCCCCAGTTTTGACTGAAGAGGGCATGGCTGAATTGACTCTGGTAAAAGCTTGTCCCATCCGTTGTTTTTTTTTTTTTTTTTTGGGAAACAAGTCTCACTTTGTCACCCTTTGTAGAGTGCCACGGCATCTCAGCTGCTTGCAACCTCAAACTCTTGGGCTCAAGTGATTCTCTTGCCTCAGCCTCCCAAGTAGCTGGGACTACAGGTACCTACCACAATGCCTATTTTTAGGGGCAGGGTTTTGCTCTAGCTCAGGCTGCTCTCAAACTCATGAACTCAGGCAATCCACCTGCCTTGCCCTCCCAGAGTGCTAGGATTACAGGCATGAGACATAGCACCCAGCTTCCTGTCCATTTTTTTATGGAAACCTAGGTCAAACACTTCAAAGGTTTCCCTAGCTGAAAAGAGAGACTCAGTACCACTCCCATAAAACAATGTTTCATGCCACACACAAACTCAAAGTGGTTGGGGATTTTTATTTTCTTCCCATGCTGTGGAAGGACATTGTGTTCCCCAGTTTTATTTCCTCCCTTAAGGAGAAACAGAGTAGCAGTTATCTGGGTCTCAGGGCTAAGCTGCTCCTACGTGGACCTAGCTAAGACTGGGCAGAGACTGACTCCAATCTGCCAGCTAACACATCAACCACCACTGAGGGCAGGCAAATTGACTAGAAGGCAAGTTGTGAACTTGGCCTCAGAGACCAAGAACTTAAAACACTAGGAGGTGATAAAAATGAAGATATATGACATCCAGTACATGGTTGCCCATAGAACCCCCATCTCTGGTATCTTAGCCACCTAAAATAAATAAAATCTAAAAGGGCTACAGCCATCTAGCCAGGTAGAGAGGTCAACTGTAATCTTAAGTCTCTTAACCATTCAATCACTCTCTTTGACCCCACGCTTCAGGCAAAAGGGCAGAGTTTTAATAAATCCTCCAAGAGCAGAACTTCTTAGTCCCAAGGAAGTACCTTGGCAGAGAGCTTGGAACTCATGCAGAAACCCCTATTTATAGAACCCCCTCAGGGCCTGTGCAGGATCCTGAGCTGATTCGTTGTCAAAACCATTTAAGCTATCAACTTGAATGGAGCAGTTGAGAACGAAGTTGGCTATTCTAGTGTGTGACAGGTAGGCTATAAGGACCTAAAACCTAGGAGACTGTGGGTCTCACCCCTAGTAGCAGCTTTTCCAAATATGAGGTTCAAATTTTGTTAATTTTTTTTTTAAGTCACAAACAAGAATTTAATGTTAAATATTGTTGCCTGAACTCATTTTTTTTAGAAAAGGGCAATAGGAAGGAACCAAAATATATTCTGGAATTTATTAAGCTTACTGTGATGAGTGTTTTTTAAGCATTAGGCTAAGTACAGTAGAACCTCCATAGTTGACCACCTCCCTACATTGACCATCTTGATTTTCATAGACTGGACATGTACAAGTACCTATCAGTACAGTAGGCCTAGCCTTAAGGGGACCACCACCATATGTTAATCAGTTTATTACAGTCCCTTGAGTGGTCAACTTACAAAGGTTCTATTACATGTAGTTTGCTAACCTTGGTGGTGCAAAAGAATCTCCCGATGAGAGCAGATACTATTACTTTAGGCAAAAGTGAGAGTTAATGAACAGAAGACAGAATTACAGACAAAGCCATTC